ACAAAACATTAGCTGGGCATGGTGGCACGTGCCTGTAATCCCAGCTACTCAGGAGGTTGAGGCAGGAGAATTGCCTGAACCCAGGAGGCGGAGGTCGCGATGAGCCGAGATCTCGCCATTGCACTCCAGCCTGGGTAACAAGAGTGAAACTCCATCTCCAAAAAAAAAAAAAAAAAAAATCTTTCTTCTAGCATTTCTTGGAATTTATTCTGAGAAATTAATCAGGGAAACATTAATATATATAAACATTTATCTCAACTTTGAAGAAAGATTCAGAATGAACTAAGTGCTTAAGAATCAAAAATGATTGTAATATGATATATGTACATGTTAAAATTGTAGTCTGTTTTAAATTGGTTTTAAATATTTAATAAGGAGAAAATGCTCATGATAGAAGCAGGGTAAACATTATGATCCCAGTTGAAAATAAAATGGAGTCATGTATCTATATATAGTAGAAAAATCTGGAATGAAATACCCTCAAATTTTAGGAGTGATTTTAAATGAGAAAAGATAACACACAAAGGATGCTTTAGTGGAATTTCCTAGGAAGTTTGCTTTGTGATTCTAAATTTTTCTTGTGAGATTTTTTTTTTTTTTTTTAATGGGACTCACCCTCTTCCATATTGAAGATTTGGCTGCCCTAAGTTACTTGGGAATCTTGTTTTAGACTCCTAGGAATAAGCCTGATTTCTACCTATGTTAATTATTGTGACTTCTCCTTATCCACATGAAGACCCAATGTTGTTGTATTACTATGATCTTTGTAAGGCGGGAAAGGTTTAAAATAACTTGGAATCAAAAAGTTGTTTTCCTCAAAACATTTTGTTATGAAAATGTTCAAACATATAGGAAAAATTGGAAAAATTTACAGCAAGCACCTATAAGCCTTACCATCTAGATTCTACTATTAACATTTTCATTACATGGTCTACCACATGTCTATCCATGTAACTATTCTGTCTACCCATCTTATGTTTTTGAATGCATTTCTAAATAAGTTACAGACGTCAGTACATTTTCCAGAATCTTGGAGGTTTTAGGCTTAAGAGTAATTTTCAAACTTAAAAAAAAAAAACAGATTTAAAACTGAAATTGTACATTTATAGAATGCACAAGAGCTGTAGGTGGTGCCACTCTAGTCGAAAGAGGAATGAGGTCCAGAGATCATTCCTTGGCTTTTTCTCTATCTCCCCTTTGTGAAGGGTTTTTCCACACAGTTTGAAAATTTAGTGACTTAACTCATCCCTTCATTCCTACATTGAGGAGTCTGGATCCAGAGGTGTTAAGTGACCTGCCCAAGGTTGCAGAGAAAGCTATTGGCTGAACTAGGAATCAAATCCAAGTCTTCCGATTTCGATTGTGGTGACTACTGAAGGTCATAGCCTTCCAGAGCTGTAGAATTACAGGGTCTTAACGTTGGAATGAATAATGAGGTTATTTATTTTGTCATCCTACCCATCTTTCTTTAATTATGACTCAGTCACCTGCTCTTCTTTGTGTCAGTGTAACTGCTTATTTGGGGAGTAAGTCTTCACATGAAAGAGGAAGGAATAGCCGGGCGCGGTGGCTCATGCCTGTAATCCCAGCACTTTGGGAGGCCGAGGCGGGTGGATCACGAGGTCAAGAGATCGAGACCAGTCTGGTCAACATGGTGAAACCCCGTCTCTACTAAAAAAAATACAAAAATTCAGCTGGGCATGGTGGAGTGTGCCTGTAATCCCAGCTACTCAGGAGGCTGAGGCAGGAGAATTGCC